GATTGTCCAGCGATCGTCGGTCATTCTCGCTACGTGTCCTGCCCATCTCCATTTTAACTTTAGGGCGTAGGTGAGAGCATCTGTTACCCCTGTCTTTTGTCTGATTGTAGTGTGACGAATTTTTTTGACATTTTCTAATTTTTGTGATACTTCTCTCCATGCTTCGCTGGCAGGATCTGACTTTATTTCTAACCCTTGCGGTGAACTTCCAGGTCTGACAGCCATAGGTTAGCGTTGGTAACAGACAGGTGTCCATGACCTTTCTTTTAATTTTAATATGCATCTGACTTTTTAAGATTTCCTTTAGGCTCCAAAACTTTTTCCATGTCGTTTTTTATTCTTCTATCTACCTCTATATCATTGTTTCGTTTTTGGAAGGAAATATGTTTCCCTAGATAAATATAGCTCTCGACGTACTCCACCGGTGTGTTGTCTAGACATATAGAGTTTTGTGCGGCATTTGTCATGAGTTTTGTTTTGCACAGGTTCATTTCTAGTCCTGCTTCTCTGCTTGCTTGTTGTATTGTGACTAACATTGACTCCAGCTCGGTGCTATTTTCTGCTAGTAGGACAATGTCATCGGCAAACCTCAGGTGGCTGATATATTTACCTTTTATACATATACCGGTTTTTTCCCAATTTAATTTGCCGATAATCGATTCCAGTACTGCTATAAATAGTCGAGGTGATAGGGGGTCGCCTTGTCTTACCCCTCTCTTGATGGGAATGGGTTCTCCTGTGCTCTCCAGTTTTACTCTACTAATATTGTGTTCATATAAGTATTTTAAGACTTGTACGTACCTTTCCTCCACTTTTTGTGATTGTAAAGCTCTCCATATTACGGGGTGTAGTATTGTATCAAAAGCTTTCTGATAGTCAACAAATCCTATGTAGAGTGAACGTTGAAATTCTTGATATTTCTCTATAATCAGTTCTAAAGAATGGATGTGGTCTATAGTGGAAAAAACCCCTTCGGAATCCCGCTTGTTCGATTGGTTGGCTTTTCTCTAATGTAGAACTGATTCTTTTCTCTATAGTCGAAGCGAATAGCTTATAAAGAGTAGGAAGGAGGCTAATTGGCCGGTAATTGCCTATGTTTAGTGGGTCGCCCTTTTTGAACAGCAGTATTATATCAGACTCTGACCACTGTGTAGGTGTTGTAGAGGAGCTTAATATTAGGTTAAATAAATGAGTCAAAGGGTCTACCAGAAAGGGACCTGCTATTTTTATGGCCTCGTTCGTTATTCTGTCAGGTCCTGGGCTCTTCTCTGCTTTTAATCTTTTAATTCCCATTATAATTTCTGTTTCGTCGACTGGTTTTATCTCTATGCCATTGCCATTGTCATCAAATTTTAATTCATTTTGATCAACATATTGACGTACTGGAGCATTGTACAAGTTTTCATAAAAGCTGGTTGCTATGTTCAGTATACTTTTACGGTCGTACGTTGCATTTTGAGCGTCGTGAAGTCCTTCTATCCATACTTTATGAGATCGCAGTTCCTTGTAAGCTTTTTTAAGACTTCCTGTAAAGTTAATGTGCTTTTCAATAGTAATCTTACGATGAGTCGCGTAGTCTCTTCGAACGTATTTACTTATTAGTTTGTACAATGCTTTCAATTCATTTTTCATAGTTCGCGTCTTTGGTTTGATTTTTTGTAGCGCCCTTCTACGTTGTATTAGCTCTGTAGTATGGGCAGATATCGCACTGCTACTTACTCTATCTCTGTTGTGAATAAGAGCTTTCTTCAAGCTAGTATCTAAAATATTAAGTATTTTGTCATAGCATTCCTGTACTGTTTTATGCCATATTGGTGTTTAAATAGAATTTCGAGCAAATAGGTGCCACGACTGGCTCGAAAGACCAAGTTTCAAAATTTTATGGAGTATCCTAAGCCTTAAATCGGCAATAAAAAGAATGGGTTAGTACCTTCTCATATATCCAAAAAAAAAATAATTTACAGGGTCACACGATCGTGATTGGCAGTCTATAGGTCCATTACGTCGAATGATACGCTCATCAAATGTCCAACGCTATAAATCGATGGTTGAATATCATCTGTTGTATGTGACAACTGTTGATAAAGCTCGATAGAACAATAATTACTAAGTTTGCCACTCCTCTATTAAATGATCTTTAGTTTTAACAATAAGCGCCATATTTGTTATATCAACACGCCACATTATAATACTCCAGATTTAAATCGCTCTTCGTATGATGCGGTCCAGAAGGAGAAACTAGTACTGGGTGCCCCTGCATAGAGATGAGAACAGTATTTCAGGAAATAAACGATTTTTTTTTTGTCCAAAGTAAATATTTAATCCATGACTACATTCAACAACAACACATTCTACAAAATAATTCAATTTAATTTCAGAAAAGGTTAAAATCCGGATATTAATCCTTATTACATTGATATCCCTGACGTGTTCCTATATTCATTTCATACCTCGATACATTTATATTCGTTGCACGTGTGTGATTTGGGTTTATCTATTTCAGAACTGAGAAATATTTTGTTTTTGCCTACATATAATACGAAGCACAACAGCAAATGTACATGTGTTTGTAAAACACACCTTCATACTAAACCGCTATAGTATTTACTCATATTCAAAACTCTGTCAATTCTATTTTTTAATCACGTCCCTATTTTAGTATTGCTATTTAAAAAAAACTGAGATTAATGGCAGTAGTGAAACCTTTTTTGTAAATTCAAGTCCTTTCAAGTTCAATCCTTTTTTTGGGGATTCGTCCTTGTTGCCAGCTATATAAATTTTACCGAAGTTTAAATAGTCAACGTGATTTAGGAGATTTTTTATTCGCGCGATCCTTTAATTGATACAGATAATAGTAAAATCTGGGGGCACGGTAGGAAAGAGACGAGCCAAGCGACGCGCAAGGGCACTACCTACCTTTTCTCGAAGCGCTTCGTCGTTTTCTTGAACTCTCACTTTTCTCACGTTTTTTTGAACTTACTTGAATTCGGATTATACCAGATAAACGAAATTCTCTGGATATGGTGTCAATAGTAAATTTATTAAACATAATAAGTATCAATTTTATAGCCCTTATACTTTAGATTTTATTGATATCTAAAAAACCCCGATCTTACTGACTCACTGATGATCATCTAAATTCTTAGCGTACTTTCTGAAGTCCTTAAAGCCGAGTATGGTATGTAAGCTAGTATTATTATACAAACAACAAAAAAAATCTAAAACTTGGCACTTTTAACTAAATCTCCTTAAACGAGGGGATGGAAATTTGTATGAGACTGCCTCAAATTAATGATACAAGTCTGATAATTGATATAACCTTGTTAACCTGAATATAGCTTGCACTGTCAAAAAGTTATCAAATCTCATAATAGATCTAATCTTCTAACTCTAGACGTCAAAATGAGTGTGTCCTAGTTTGGTATGACGAATTCAGGTCTCTTAACGGAAACTATACAATACGTGATATTTAGTGTAGAAATATTTATAATTGTTTACTTCACTAAGTTCTTGGCTGTTTTAACATATACCTATTTGATAGTTTAGCTTTGATAGTTTGAAATTTTAGCAGTAGTTTAGGAAAATCAGAATTTCTTACTTTTATTAGTATTTTAGAGACTTACAAATTTACAATATCGCACCGTATTAAAAAAAGTAGAAAGTAACATTGCTTTGAAAAGTTACTTAGATAAAGTTGTCCAATAGGGAACCGTAATCCTTGTTTATTAAACTGACAAAAAATGTATTTGAAAAGTGAGTTTTTAATAAGCCTTAGCGAGAGCTTTCAACGTAATAAAAGTAACCAAGTTTCAGCTTTTACAGAACAAAACAAAAGCCTTAGAGAATAAAGTGACATTACTATAAACATTTACAGTGTAGTTGTTCGACAGCAGCTCATTATAAGCCTAAAGATATTTAGGTTTAGTTTCATTCTCTTTAAAGTTTTTTGTACCAGCAATTTAATGTTTTTGTTATTTATGAGTCGGCCTCAACTAAAATCAGTTACGTCCTATTTTAATGATGCCTTTGTTTTCTTTATTGGGACGATATTGAAAGTATACCTTTTTTAATGTTTTCATAAACTTCGCTTTTAATTAACAACAATGTAAAAATAATGTTGGATGTTAATTTTGACCCACTTCGAATTGTTCTGATGAGCTTCGAAGCGTGGGTAGGGAGGAACGACTGTGTCACCTACCGATTGACTCAGATGCTCACCGGGCACGATTGCTTCGGTGAGTATCTGAATCTAATAGGACGGTAGGTCACCACTGCGAGTCCGACCGGGACTCCGTCCAGCACACGCTGGACTCGACAGTCTTGGTCGGACAGATCGGACTAAACCTATCACCAGCAGCCAGCCAACAGCCTGGCGCCAGCATTGATGGCGAGGCGATGGCAGGTCTCCTTCTACGAGGACGTTATGCTTCAGAAGGAGACCGCAGAGCGGGATCGGGAGAGGGCCGAGCCTCTTCGAAGAAGGCGGCGAAGAGGACGCAGCAGAGGTTGCTAGCTCCCCAATTGCCGCCTAAGGGTCGCTGAGGCCACATCTTGGGGCGATGTTGCCGCTGCAAACGACCCGAGACACATGTCACTCCGGTGGGATTGTCGTCAAAGGCGGGGCGCTGTTGCGCGTTTTACTATGTAGAGCAGTGAGAGCCCGGGATGTGCCTCAGACTTGGGGTACGGCAGAGATGCGTTTCTGAAACTCCTCCCTGCTGCCGTACTGCCGGGGTAGACCGCCTCGGGGTTTAGTGGGTCGACCGGTTCTTCAGGAGTCCCACATACGCCCTCCGTTTCCCCAACGGTGGGTATGAAGCGAAAAGCATATTCCGCGTAAAAAAAAAACAACAAAACTCTTAAAAATCTCACATTAACCTAAATTATCGCCAGAATAAAGCAAGGCGTACAAATACATTAATCGTATTAATAAAATTGTTACGACAATTTACGGGTCAGGTTATTTTATAAGGTATTTATGACATTTCTATTTGTTACAGAGTTTGATGGCGTTTATCAAGTTTGGTTACGCCTTAGTGGTGGTGTCGTTGCTGCTTATGATATGGGCTTCATTATCCAGAGCTTTAGAGGTGAGTCAATATATCGTTTTTAGAGCTAAGGAATAACCACAGGATCTTATAACCAATGTTCCTGGGTATCCTATAAGCCTCGTTATTTTTTTTTACATAGAAAAGTAAAAAAGAATGTACTAGAGAAATGAGTTTTGAGTTAAATTCCTTAGAACTCAACCAATTTAAGTGGGCAAATGAAAGAGCTCATTTAAGTGAGTGTTCTTAGAGCGGGGTACTTCAATTAGAACCGGAGATATAGACAAATATAGACAAAAAAAAACAGTGGCACTCCACTCCAATTGTTGTTCCATTCCATTTCCCAAAATTTAAAAATCTATTGGTAAACCGTGTAGGTATAACAAGAAAAGTGTAAAAATTATGTACTGTGATTTCCAATGCTTGATGATAAATGTGTCTATTCACCTTTCATAACAAAATAAAAAAAACTATAAGAAAATTGGTTGGATAAATAATAATAATAAGTTCATCAACCCCTCCTTCTACGTCCAGTCAGTTCTTCTTTGGAATGCCAGGATATCAACAAACCGCCTTGCATTCAAGACAAAAGTGCGCGATCTCCTTTGGAGTGAATTGGCAGAACAGTTGTGACGCTAGTACCCTGCTGAGTATTTTTTGTATTATATTTCAATTTTCAATAATTTACTACCAATAAACTGGCGATATAACCCTCAATTCAGCAAAACAATTTACACTTACATTTTCGCTTTCAAAACTTATCTTTAACAAAGGTATAAACACCTAAACAAATTGTCTTTACAGTTCACAGTTACAAACAATCTTTAAACGGAAAAATACTTCTTCTTGTTTAGCTCAAATACGTAAATCGAAGTTTGTTCTTTCGTGTTTTTAAGTTACAAACAATGCTTTGAACCGTTCCGTTCTATTGATTTTTAGTTTTATTTAGCTTGCTAACTGACTTATAACACCTTCTCAAGTTAGTATAGATTTTGTATTAAATAATCAGCTCAGCTGTATACCTATGTTTAATCTAATATATAAAATTCTCGTGTCACGGTGTGCGTGGTTGAACTCCTCCGAAACGGCTAGACCGATTTTCGTGAAATTTTGTGTGCATATCGGGTAGGTCTGAGAATCGGCCAACGTCTATTTTTCATACCCCTAATTTTTTTTTTTAATAATGTATATGGCAAAACAACGTTGGCCGGGTCAGCTAGTACGATATATAATATTTTGATTAATTCCGTTGCGAGATTTTAACTATCACTGGAACTGTGTTTATGTCAGAGTTGTTGATCTTCGTATACAGAATTTACAGTACTGGGATTTGGATTATTGTGTGATTATTGCGGACTATGTTGCAGACCGCTTTAATATACTTTGGAACTGTAATTAACCGTAATAACTATGAATAAACTTGTCTCATTTAAACTTATAATGATGATAATCAGCTATTTGAACTGATTTTCTCCTGTGCTCCTTTTACTATTATCACTCTTGGCGTAAATTCTCGGAGACGATATTGAAGAGAATATCCTTCTTCTTCAAGACGCTATTAGTGAGCTGTTAAACCATCACAAATTGTCAATGTTTAGGTACTATTATGGCACGCGTCAATTTTCGTAATGCTTTCTAACAGAATACCCAATTGTTTCGAATATATATTTTGTGTGTATGATCCGTAATGACATCGCCTAAAAAATAAGTAAATAATATTATTTATTAACTTTTATATATTGCAAAGGCAATTTCGTACAGCTTTAAGGCTTAAAGAAACATTTCTTAGCACGACCAGCTAGATTTATCATTGATCAATATTGATGCTACAGAATATTGAAGCCTCATTGCATTTATAATAAGTTTTAGTATATAAAACTTGATGGAACCGGAGTTTCAACTGATTTTTTATCGAGTAAGTTTTACCGAAGTTAGTCTGCCGCCGTTTCGAACTAGAACTAAAAGCGACCGATGACACAATCCACCTACTTTACTTTTTTAACTGATTTCAAACTAAAGACCCTTTTTGTTTATTGCAAGATCAGTTCAAAAAAGGATTTTAAAAAGTACTACCAATGATAATGGGCGTAAATAATGATAAAATATAGTTAATTATATTCTTAACACCTTGGATTATTTTCTTAAAATTCAATGGAACCAACTGAAAACAATTGAATAAACTTTATGACTATGTATATTCTATACTCTTCTAACTAAAATTAAAAATGCAAAAGTAACTAATAATATCTCGACCCATCTCAAACACGGCCGTCTGGTCCCAAATTAGCAGAGCCTGTGCTATAGAAACCAGACTTAACGTACTTATAGATTTTTAGATACATATATACTATAAATAAAATACACCAGAGATGGAAGAAATGATCGTGCTCATCACAAAATTATTTGTACTGGGTGTAAATCGAACCTACGACCTGTAACTTGGCAGCCTGGATCGCTAACCACTAGATCACCAGGCCCGTCCAGATCCAGATGATAGTATTCTTTTCTAATAACAAAAACAGTTATCAAACCGTTAGCAATTTTAAATTTAGAATTCTAGAACACAGGTGATTGTAATATTGCGGACTTACCCGCTGGAAGCAAGAGGCCTATTATTTAACATAACCTGGAAATTCAGAGTATATTCACGTACATTCTGCCTTTTGTGAAGTTATATTGGATACCGTATAATCCGGGGTATAACACTGTTGTATCCTATTGTGAGAGATACTTACCATATCGTTTGCCTCTATTGTATAATGCTTTGAAAATATATGAATATATTATTTTTAAATTGAAATGTTAATATGATATATTATAGATTAAGGGGTACGAAATGTGGTCAAAAACTAAAATATGGAGTCTTAACTATCGAGTCTTACATATATATTAATGGATTTTTCTATAAAAAACGTTTAATGTACTAATACTTACATGATTAATGATCGACAAAAATATAAAGAGGCGTTATTTAAATGAACGTGATGTATTTTTTTTAAGATAACCTAACTTATTACTTTTACGTACACACCTTATGTTCGTACGTAAAAGTAGTAAGTTATAAATACAGTATTGGAAAAATAAGGATTTAACAAAGTTTTGTTCTGTTTTTTCATAACAAGAATGAAAAAATAATTCAATACCAATATTGTAAGAAACAACAAAAGCAGAGATAAACATCGGATAGAGGGATCTGAACGAACATAAAACGGAATACGTATAGCACCAGAATATGGCAAAAAAAAACTGTTTGGCTGATTGGCTAGCAGGTTGTCAGTCAGAATTTCTATTTTATTTTCTTTTTATTATTATATTCCTTTATTGAAGTTAAATGGAATAAAATATATATACTTAGGTATAATAATATTTAACAATCAAGCATGTCATGTAAAAAATGAATATTTTGTATATGGATGGAATAAAAGGCTTTTTATTTTATTTATTTTATTATTCCTTTAAAGGTCCGATAAAATCAAGAATATCGTTTATAAATAAATAGATTCTGATTTTAAACAATGTTTATACTAATTATTATTAACGGCTTTAAATATATTAGTGTAACATTAAATAAAACACGGTAAAACACGGTTTTTTAATATCTTCTGGTATTCGTCTGTTAGTCGAGCGATATAATTTAACTGTTGTACCTCCTTACTCTCAAACGAGAATTTTACGCATTAACAAAATTATAATAGTCATTTGCTTGGAGGAAGAACCAACATTAAAAGAAATGGCTTGTGTAATTTAAATATATACGTATTTGTAGATAAATGTAAGGTTTTAATGTACTAGGGAGTTTACACATTAATAATATGTTATTATTTAGACGGGCCTGTAGGTCTAGTGGTTAGAGACAATGACTGCTAAGCCGGAGGTCGTGGGTTCGGTTCCCACGAAGGACAAACATTGTGTGATGAGTGCGATCATTTGTTCTGTGTCTGGGTGTAATTTTTCTATAATATGTATGTATTTAGAAATATATAAGTATGTTTATCAGTAGTCTGGTTACCATAGTACAGGCTCAGCCTAGTTTGGGATCAGACGGCCGTGTGTGAGATGTGTGGATATATTATTATTATATTATTTGTTTAAGTAACATTATTGGAATGAAGTCCCTTATCGCGCGTTATACACTCTTGAGTTGATGGGAGCGAGACCGAAAAATGTGTAACAAGACTTTTCTCCGACACTTCAGTTGGCGCGTCGACACAAACGTCTACCTTTTTGTTTCGTTTTGCGTTCCAACCGTAACATATATTTAACACGTTAATGGTCCCCATCGATGTTTTTAAGTTTTTATATTTATTAGATTCTAAGCCACTAGTCCATAATGAAAACACTAAAACTAAATTCTCCTCCTCTCCTCTCTTCTGAGGTATGGTGTTGTGTTCTGGGGAAATTGGTGTATTAAAACTACAGATAGTTGCAAACCATATTTTATAAACTTTAAAATTCTAACGCTACCATGCATTTACATATTAGAAACTGTCGTGTTTGTGCGTAAAAATGCTTATGTATTTAAAAATCTTAATAGTAAGAGGCGTGATATGGAAATACGCATGCCCAGAAATAAAACAGCCCTGTTAAATAGGAGCGCACTTTGTATGGCTGTTTGATTATACAATCGTTTACCAAAATCTGTACTCGGAATCACAGATAGTGTATTTATATTTAAAAATAAAGTCAAAGAAATATTAGTTGGAAAAGGATATTATTCTGTGAACGATTATTTAATTGATAGTGAATTGGTGTTAATGAACAAAGTTTAATTTATATAACAGTTATAACTATGTAAACGTAATTTATTAGTGACTTTCCTCAATTCCAATCTTTATATTAATTTAATGGTTATAGTATACTTTTGCATGCTGCTGTGACAGCAGAATATGATGAATCTGATACTATTGTAAGAACTTTTATACCTACTCATGTTCTGCAAAATAAATAAATAAATAAATAAATAAATTGACAAATTCGTGGGGCGGTAGTCACTTTCCATCACAGGTGACCCGTCTGTTCGCTTGTCCCCTTCCAGAAAAAAAAACATGCGGTACACCAGACTATTAACGTGTTAAGTAACATCAGTAGTTTGCATCGCTAGAGCAAGTATAAATTACTTACATTTTGGGGCGAGACCACTTCTAATATACTAGCTTTAGTCTGCGACTCCGCCGCGTGTTGGCTATCGCGGTAAAAAGTAGGCTGTCATTCACTGATAATGAGTATTCTATTGGTGAAAGAAATTTTAAAATCGCTTTAGGCGTGACAGCGTAACAAACAAACAAACTCACTTTCATATTTATAAATAGGTATGGATATTAAACATTCGATTTTTAACTCTACATTTTGAAATTCGAATAAAAGAAATTTGTCATATAAACAGCAATAAAACCTCACAAAGCACCTTTTATCCTCTGTGGTGAGCCTACCTGCATTACCGATGACCTCCCCTATAAAAGAGAGGCATTTGTGGTCGGAATCCCGAGTAGTTACCACGCAATAAAGAGATTCGGTTAAATATGTTCTCATATATCAGTTGTGTGGATACACAGTGCAGTGGCAAATCGCCTTCACTCTGTTATAGAGGTATACACAAAAAACTGTTCAACGGAAATCCCTTTGTGTTCTAAAGTACATTGGAGCTCATAGTACCCATTATCTGTGCCGAATATTTAACACCGTATTAGTAGGGTTATCGTAATTTTAGCGGCTGATATTGCTCATATGAAACTGTAGATCGATGATGGAACAGCTATTTATAAATCATAGAACAAACGAAATAAAATATGAACTAAGGTAGAAAGCCGTCGTAACGGTAGGTAACTGAAATTGTCTATTTTAAGCGCTAAATCTAATTAAAAATTAACAAACTATAAAGTATTTTCTTTTGAAGCAATAGGTTCCAATACGTTCGATATTTGTAGGTCTAGTATGAGTGCCATCATAAATATATAAATTACGTCAAAATTTGAGCAACGTGCCTTTTGAAAGGTCGAAATGCAATCATAGTAGTGAATGTAATTTACTTATAAAATGTATGTATTAAGAATAATATATGTTTATCAGCAGTCTGGTTACCATAGTACAGGCTCTGTTTAACTTGGAATCAGAATACTGTGTATATTTTCTTGTTATAACACCAAGTAAAAGTAAAGTAATACCACATAAACTACTGCAAAATAGATTATGTACAGAATCTATTATCACATATTAATTCTAAAATTCTTATTTGGATTCCAGATTTGGATATACCTATACCTTTCACCTAATTAATATTCAAACCAAACGAAACTTTTTTAAGTTAGTGGTCGTCAGTAAGTACTACTTACCAGTAACAACTCAAAATAAAGTTCTAATTTTAATAGACACTTACACGATCTCAAAGTGGAAGTTTCACACAAATTATCCCTATTACCCACAAGTTATCCGACAACAAAGCGAACAAATTCCGCCAAATGATTGATGGGCAGACAAGTCTTGCGTAATAAAGTGGTTCTTTTGTATTGTAGTATTACAGAGTACTTTAAATGAATTAATTATGAACTTGAATCTGAAGTTCAAAGTGTTTTGACTGTTGTTGTATAGAATACAGGTGTTATGCAAAAATATGAAAATGTTTTAGAATCTTGAACTATATGCTTAAGTAAAACCTCTGCAAAAAATCTCATCTATTTATTCATAATTAGAAACAAGAGCTTGTTTGCCATAACCATAGATAAGAGCGTAGGTAAAACCACCAGTATTGGCCAATCCTAGCTTATCCTAGCTTAAATACTAGTACTAGTATAAATATATATCTTATATGCTGTTACTACCTATTACAAAAAAGTCTTAAGGTCTTAAGCAAATAATAGATTTTCCTGACATCTTAAAAATGTAGAAGTGTAAATATAAACAGAGTTCGGAAATGACAACGTACATGGTGTATTTACAAGGCACAGTTAATACATAAGGATGTGCTGCATGGACTCATAATATTACTTGACTATCAGCAAGACTAGGTAGCTCTTCATTTCTCTAGAGAAATGGATCAATATTTGAGATATGTGACTTATAGGTAGGCAACATATTAGCATTTTTATCGTAGTTGGTAAAATGGAAGAAGGACATTGAATAATTCATCATCACATCAACAGCCTATAACAGTCCACTACTGGACATGGGCCTCTCCTTAGAAAGGAGGTTTTGGCCTACTATACCACGCTGGCCAGACGGGTTGGTATAGGGTTTGTTTCAAGGACGGTCCGAGGGGATTTCCACACGTAAAAAAAAAAGGGTTTGTTTTAAGATTTCCTTCTCTTTACAGTGTTGTTGTCTTGCATAGTTTGCTCCCTTAGTCAGCTCTTACGACACCCACGGGATGAATAGGGGTGGTGACATTACGTATTCTTATTCTGTCAACCATCACCGGATAATTAAAAGACAGAAATAAATTTACAGCTTAAACTAGCGCAGGAGCCAGGAGATTTCTCAATCATATGTTTATCCACTTTTTTATTATTAATTAAGTATTTCGCTATAAGTGAATGCGTTTTTTGGGAATATTAAAATTAATTTTGGAAAATTAGTGAGAATGTTAGTAAATGATAAGATTTAACTTCATTTTAGGCGTAACTTAACGTAAATATTATTAATTTAGCTTAAAATTAAGGACTTAGATGACAGTAATTGTATGTAACAGATACTTAGTAAAAGAAACGTTTAAACAATTTTAAAAACATGGACTTAGTACCGTTACTGACATCATAAACAATACACTCATTGCTCGGACACAAAATAAATTATAGGACTATATTCCACCTCACTCTTTTTTATGGTAAATCGGCAAAGAAGCAGACCTGTCACCTGACTGCCAATATGGGTTAATGACTAACGCCGTCCATGGACACTTTTTTTTTCTGTGCGAAAATCCCCTCGGATACCACCCACTGGTGGTAATGATATCGGTAATGATAATGGCATGCCGTCTCGGGTACCAGTAGCCGGGGAACAAGGAGTACCCTAGAAATTAAATCCCTGTTAACTTGACGTACGACGTACCCGGGCCATCTACAGCCCATAGTCACCTGCAAATGAAGAGTCCCAAGTGAGACCCCAGCTCCACATAATCAGTAGAAGAAGGGGAGGTAAGGGCTACGGGGGGAGGATTGGAAAATTGCTTAATACCAGTTTTCTGTGCGGCCGTGCTGTTGCTCCGGTCAAGTCGGCCCATTTATGCCAAAGCGTGGCTCTTTCGAAATTCTACTAATCACTCCCTAACAAGTCGTTACAGATATAATAACAGTAATAAAAGTCTCGGCTCACTGACCATATTAAAGATTTTAAGTTATATACTACTTATAATAACAATATTCTTACAGATATAAAGGAGACTTTACAAAAATAAAGATATAAATAAAAGAAACAGACACACTCCGTCAGTCCCGACAGAAGTGAAAACTTAAACAATTACGTGTGTATTTTTTGAATCGCCGTGGTGTCGGTTTCAATGGCTATTTCCCATCTCAAAAAATGATTATTTTGTTTATTGATCAAAAATGCCCAACGTGCTTAAAGAAGCTTTCACTTCAAAAAGATATAAAGTATTTGAACATATTACGACGACTGGATGGCGTAGTGGTTTGTGTAACGGACTGCTATTCCAAAGGTCGCGGGTTCGATTCCCGCTCAAGTCAAACATTTGTGTGCATGAACATTTGATGTTTGATTTGGTCTGGGTGTTTCTATGTATAATATGTATGTATTTACAAAAAAAAAAGTATATATGTATTTATATCAGTTGTCTAGTACCCATAGTACAAGCTCTGCTTAGTTTGGGACTAGATGGCGTTGTTTGTATGTGGTAGAATATATTATATTATATTTTTTTCTTTTTGCAGCTTCACGTGGACAGCGGTCGTCCACCATGCCTGTTCCAAGCGCTCTGCACATGTTCAAAGCCTGCCGGAGACCTGGGCATAGTTACCTGCAGCTATGTGCCAATTCTACGAGTCCCTGCGACCATCAACAGCTCGAAAGTCTTTATGCTGCAACTGACAGGAAACAAAATCAGAGATCTAGAACCACAGTTTTTCCAAGCCACAGGTTTGTTAAATACCACAAATATATATAGATTGATACTTATATATTATATCTCATTGTCAAAGTAGGATCGTAAAATGTTATAATTTTCATTTTAAAAATAATAAAATTAAAAAAGAGATATTCATTTCTTACTTCGTTTGTCTAGTTGGTTATTGCAATTTAACAATATTTAAATTATAGATTTCTTTAAGAAATAAATAATATAAACAGGTAATAAAATATACAATTTCAAAATAAGAATAGTAGCAAAGTTCAATCTTTTATATTTATAGAAATGTTGAGTTTGTGTACGCTTCAAAGACTCAAAAAGATTTGTACCGATTGGGCTCAAATTTTAACACGATATACAAACCGTTTCAAATATTGGTTTGATCTATTATTCTCGTCAGTTTTGTTACTCATTTCTCATCAATGCAAATACAATGTGCCACAGTGAAACGTAGCTACGTATGGCTAGTTAATAATTATGATTTATACATATCAAACTATGCTATACTACATGAGTTTAGATATACAAAATAGTCTCAAAGTCATATAAAAATATACAAATTTATGCGTTTTGCGCAAACCATGTCAATTCCTCTGTAAAAGAATATTTAATTCACTATTTTCATAACCAGACTGTCAGTCAGTGAAATTGAATGATAATTTACAACACAGTATATAATAAATAAAACACAATACAAGTAAACAGTGTAAAGGAATGAATACGAGAGGAATACGAGATCTTGTAGCGCGTTTGAACGCATTTCACTTCTTTTGTATTCGTAATTTAACTCCTTTGTGCTTGTTCTCACATTTTCCGTTTCCCTTAATTTTGGTAAAATTTCATGTTTCGGTTCTTATCTTCCTCTTTCAAATCTGTTAAAAAACATTACATCAGTCGTTATATTAGCATTTTGCTTATGTTAATAATTAATTGAAAAAAAAAATCGCCCACTTCAATATGTAAAAATTATAATAAACATTCCTTCATTTTCTATTGTTGTTTTTTAATTTACATGGGACTAAACGAGAAGTATAATCACCCAACCAAATAAAAAACAAACTTTCTAATTCGGTTCCTAAACAATGGAGTTCAAGTAGCAAACTAAAATAAAATAACTGAATTGAGAAAGACTTTTTCAATTAAGCTTATTTTACATAATGTACCCAATGTATAATAATGTTTTGTGTGTTTATTTTATATGAGTTTTTAATCTATTTTATGTGTGACATCATACTCAATAAACTTCAACAACCCATCTCATTCTTAATCTCCTTCTCCATCCAGTACTAGCCTGGAAGAGATAGCACATCGCGATAAGGCCTCCAAACATTTTATTTTTCTTTGTTTCACTTGACTTTAGATCATGTTACACTAATAAATACAAAGTTTTATTGTAAAGAGTTCTCTATCTATCTATCCATATAGTAATACATTGTGAGAAAATTAGACTACCTTCTGCATGAAAATTTGGAGCCGATTTAGCAAAACTAGGACAACTGGAGACGCCCTTCTCACAAATACGTACCCTCGCCAGATATTACATACGTACAAACATTTTCAGTACGGCGCTGTCGTCACCAGTTGCTTGTGACACGGTCAATATAATAAGGGTTATTCTGTCTTAACCCTGCGCTCAGCAATCCCGTAAATACCAGGTTTAACCCTCTAAGCCGTAGTACGAGGACTCGGTGTTCATTTATTTGCTTGTGGTACAGAAAACCTTACAAAATAGTAATTTATATTTAGTTGTGTAAATGTTTATGATCCACTTGGCTTAGGCTGTATATAAAAACGATAATTTGGATCATTATTTTTGTTTCAATATAAAAAAGCAATGATTTCTTAACAGACTTCAGAAAAGAAAGAGCTTTTCATTTAAATTTCATTTTTTGTGAATTACGCGATATCCTGAGCATTTGTGAACCGATTTTAACAATTGATTTTTTAAATTGAATTGCTTGTATTCGAGTTTGACCCCTTTTAATTTTTAAGAAAATATTCTACTTTTAAGGGTCGAATTAAGGCATGAAATCGTCTTATTACAATTTATGGAGTTTAAACTCGTTGAAACTTTGTTAAATGCTAACTATTTCGTACATTATTAATTGGGAATGTGTATCTTGAATACACAGTCAAAGATAACAAATATACAAGTAAATTTTCACTACAATCCTGCTTTTCATTTTAATTAGACAAGTATTTTAAAAGTCACTAGTTTCTACAAGAAAGATTGTCCAATGATATTGTTCTATCAGTACCTGCACACATTTTACTTAGTATTTCAACTGAAACGTAGGAGCCGTTGAATATCTAATCTAATTTAAGCAATTAATTTCAGGCTTGTACAGGCTCGCAATCAACGAGAACCCGCTTGAGAGCATCCACGAAGAGGCGTTCTATGGACTCGACAACACGCTTTGGGAGTTAGAACTTAGACGAGACAAATTGACGGCCGTACCAAGCAGGTCTCTCAGATACTTACAGAAGCTCAGACTATTGGATTTGACAGGTGATTTATGCTTTGACGTTTCTAGTTTAATCTGAATTGGGTTTCTTGATTCAGTGTTGGCTGAATGACATATAAATTATTGAATATTGAAATTCACTAAACTGAATGCAGTTAATTTAATCTTACAGCGTTTTGAATAGTTTCGTAAATTTAATTTATATAAAAAGTTTTGTCGTAAAAACTTCCGAAGTAGTACTGTTGACAAGTGATTTATTGTCTTTTTCTTTACTTAAACCGTGAACATAAATGCAGTCTGCAGAATGGTTGCTGGCGACATAAAATAAAACTGGTAAATCCTTGTAAATGGAATTAATTTAATTATATTGGTTAAAGTTTTCAAGGGCTTGAAATATTATTTGGACTGATAAGGATATTAACGCTAAAGCTAGCTAATAGAAGTATAAATTATATATATAAAGAACATCACTGGTTTTTATTATCTGTTGTTCATAAAGCACCAGGTGCTCGTGAATTACGTTTATATGTGAGCTTGTCAAAGTTATTATTTGAATTTTGATTAATCGCCAATATCGTAAAGTGTACGGGGTTACATATTGATAAAGATAATATTCTCATTTACCTAACGAGATTTATTTACCAATTTTGTGACCAAAAGAGGTGAAATACATTTGTTATCTAGTAGAGTTTTGTACATGAAGTATTACCAATATAAATGTATAGTATTGAGATACAATCACAGTTTTAATGACGCCAGTTTCTAAGTTCATTTTCTTTGCTCTAACTATATTCTTCAAAAGTCATTGTAAATTTGTTTACATTTCATAACATATGTTTTTTAATTGATGTAAATAAGTGCTCAGCCACTTGTATAAATATATCAATATCAGTATTTACCTAGTATTCTGAAAATCTTTTACATTATGTAGAGTATTGGCGATCCTAATTACATATTATACAGGTACTTACTTAATTTGTCCAATTTCCTATCATCATCATACTCGTCTTACCGTATTAATTTTACTGGTTTATTTTATTGCTGGTCGCCTGTCATTGTGGTGACGGCTTAAGAGCCTGTCCAGATGAAGCGTTTTACGCGAGTCGACTCGCGCGTTTCAATTCATATTGCGTCCAGATGAAACGTTTTACGCGCGTTGCTACGCAGGGAGGGATTCAGTTATAAACATGGACTCGGAGACAGCGGTTGTGTTGTGGCTTGCATACCGTCGATGCAAACGTCGTAAACGAAAAGAAAGTCGACGATTTAACGTGCATCGCATAGTATGTTTATAACATTACTAGCTGACCCGCGCAACTTCGTCTGCGTCTCTCAATAGTAATAAATTTTCTCCGTTTTTGAAACATTCTTCATTGGTGCTCCGCTCCTATTGGTCTTAGCGTGATGATATATAGCCTATAGCCTTCCTCGATAAATGGGCTATCTAACACTGAAAGAATTTTTCAAATCGGACCAGTAGTTCCTGAGATTAGCGCGTTCAAACAAACAAACAAACTCTTCAGCTTTATAATATTAGTATAGATACCCAAAGCTCAGAGAACACAGCGAAAATTTTTTCAACTACTTTCGAACGTCAGTAACATCGTTTGAAACGAAACGTTCTTTGGTGAGAATTCTATATAATCTGTGGTAGAGATTGACATAAATATTGCAAAAATAATTGATTTTCAATAAAAATTTTTCTCAAAAACTACGCGTCTCCGCATGTTGAAACTTTTACGTGTGCTTATAATAATGTAACCATTCTGTAAAAAAAAAATATCAACCTCCAACTCGATTGTCGTTAATGTGGAGTTGAGCCCCATTTTGTAATATGTCCACTCGCTACGGATTCGAGCGTAATACTGGACGCAGTAATGGCGCTGGCGCGTAGAACGCGCGAGTCGAGAGTCTCGCTCATTACCAGCGTTTTACGCGCGAGTGAGGATACGCGCGTCATCATCTGGACGGAATATATGTAGCTCTAGTATCTCGGAAACGCGCGACTACGCGCGAGTCGACTCGCGCGTAAAACGCCTCATCTGGACAGGCTCTAAGAATACGGACTCTTACTACCCCTATTAATCCCGTGGGTGTGGTAAGAGCCGAATTATGAATGACAACTGCACTGCAAAGAGAAGGCAAATTGGCCACAAACGCAAAACCAACCCATCCATCCAGCGTGGCGTAGTAGGTCAATACCTCCTTTCTAAGGTTATTGATGATAATGATGTCTGACACCTTGACGGCATACTATCGTTTTCAGACAGGACAAAGTAAATTTGGGTAAGGAAAATGAATAAGGGATACCAAAAGTCTCGGATGGGAAATAGGGCTGAAGCAGAGATACGTCTGCCCTATTATTTTGAGACCACTAATATGGGGACGTCTAGTGATATGAAATTATACCCGACTTGGATAACTGGAAAGTTTATTTTATACAACCGCATAGACCTACCTATTTCTATAAAACTGGTTGGTTAATGACCACTATTACTGTCAAGGCATATTACTAAAAATCAAACTTCTTTGCACAGAAGTAATGTAGAATGTACGGAAAGCTATAAATTGCCAACAATACATGGTGTAAAATTAAAAATTATGACAAACTATCTGCTTTCAGTATATATTTTGACATGTGATGCTACAGAAGTCTATACAATTACATTTTAAGTTAGGGTGGTAATTAAACATGGTTGACATTCGACCGCTAGGTAATTTCTCATAATTATGTACCCTTAAATTAATCTTATTTTCTTTAATTACAGGTAATGAAATAACAGACATATCGGGTGACAACTGGCGTGGTCTAGAACACACGCTACAGACGTTGATATTAAGTGAGAACTCGATTGCTAACCTACCTCTCGATGCATTCTCGAGTCTGCCAATGTTGGAGACTCTCGACTTACAAGGAAACCACCTGTCTGTGATCGATAATGGAGTGTTCCGAGATGGGATGATGAGACTAAACAGAGTAAGTCGCAATTCCTCATTTTTGTTATTTTTTATTTGATATTTAATCAGCGATTATATTTATAATCGTATTTACGGATGATAAAGATAAACATCCAATTCATTTACCTCTGAAAGTAATGCTTTACATTAAATTCGACTGCACGGATGGCGTAGTGGTTTAAGCGGTCGCCACGCCGCCTCCTACCACGCTGAGTGTTGTGGGTTCGATCCCCACATGGGCGATACTTTGTGTGATCCACAAATTGTTGTACTGAGTCTGGGTGTTCTTTGTGTCCGTTTCATGTATGTGTGTAAAGTCCCCCGCGAGACAGGATACATTTCTAATGCGGGAGTTGTCTTTAAAAAAATATATTATAAATATATATATATATTAAATTAGCTTTTGTGATGTGACGAATAAGAACACGACGCAAATCCTTATTTCTCTGTGAATTGCTTAAATGTCCTATGCGGAAATCGAATACAAGTACCGAATATGAATATCGAACGATAATAAGGCTCATAATTGGCAAGTTGACCATTCATGTAAGTCTCGAAGACATCCTTCATCAATAAATCTGTAACTAATGTAAGCTCAGGTAACATTTCATTGTACAAGACGTCTGGGATTAGTCTGCCACAAAGAATCAGAAATTCTGTTTAGTGACGAGAAGGCAGTCATCTGAATAACTTCTTATTTGATAACTATCTGGCATAGTAGAAATTATATACAATTTATTAGGTACCTACATTTCTTTGATTTCCTGTCCACAAGCTGCTTTTTTTAATTTCGAGATTTTTTTCCTTTATGAAAGGTATTCTCTTTCCTTAGCTTTATTTATGGCAATGTAAATGCAAAATTCGATAACAATCGAATGAACAGTACGACAGTGCATTATATACAAATAAAAAAAAATACTGATGTTTATAATATGTTTTGATAGATTATTATTATTTATATTCTATCTATCATAAAATTACGCTAATTTATTTTCCCATATACTCCTGTTAACTTACATTGTAACCCTTGTTTGACAAAATTCCAGCTTTTACTCGGAGACAACCAACTGGCTTATATACCTTACGATGAGATATCACCACTTCGACAGCTAAGGTTCTTGGATCTGTCCAACAACCTGATCAAGCAAGTTCCACCAGCGCATGAATTGAACGGCATCAGATTATCACTGGATTCTTTAAAGTGAAGTTATATATATTCAGTAGTTATTGAATGCCTTTATACAAAATTAGTAATAGACCAAATAGTGGCACGACGAACTGAAAATACATTATTGAAAGACATGTAGCAACTTAAAACTGTGCCTTTCTTGGCAAAATAGCTCTCAATCTTGAATCAGACTCTTTCAAAGGGTCATATACACAAAAAAAAAACTTAAAAGTCACAAAAACAGACTATAAAAGATAAACAAAAAGCAGACTTTAAGGCGATTCTTTCAACTGATTAGGATCGCTGGAGAAATTTAAGACAAGGGCTCAACAAGCAAAGCAACACAGAAGATGAAGATCAAAATAATATACTGTATACCCAACCTATTAAGATATAAATGAAATTGAAAAATTTCCTCATAGTACATTTAAAACCGATCCGATTTTGTTGGCCTTTAAATTTTAATATCTACTTTCAGGTTAGACAACAACCTTATCAGAGATTTGTTACCTGGATCCTTCAAGTACTTTAACATACTGAATTCTACTTCATTGGATGGGAATCCTATCTTCACGATTAGAGTAAGTGCAGTATTAAAACACTGACTATTTTAGTCTTTCATAAAAAATATATATTTGTAGATAAAGAAACGTAAACTTAATTAATTATAAAATTACTGTTAAAAGTTGTATATTGGTTCCTTTAATGGTACTATTAAAGGAACCCTCAAGGGATGGATAGCATAAGGATGATTTGTTTGCAGCCTTAATAATATAAGAAAGTTAAACTGTAAATCTAAATCTGTTTGGTTAGAAAACTTGCATAACCCTACAAGATAGCAATAACACAAAAGCATTACTGTTTCGTCTTAATATTTTGCTAATTCACGATGGACACACGTTTAAAATAAGCAGTACAGGTTAAAAACACTGAGGTGTAACTGAAACATTTTGAGATCAAAACAGATCGCATGGGCATAACACATATATTGAAGTGGTGACTTAAAGGTACCCCATTACGTAATTAAAAAGCCAGGCTCAATAGCGATGGGCACGCCGTCATTGCGGCGGTAAGACCCGTTATGGAGGGTTGGCTCGAGAGGCGTCACGGGACCCTCTCATACCGATTGACGCAGGTGATCACTGGGAAGGGATGTTTCGGAGATCACCTGTGTCTGATCCGCAAGGAGCCAACGCCTGAGTGCCACCACTGCGATGGCCAGACCGTGGACACGGCTCTCCACACGCTGGCAGAGTGCCCGGCGTGGGTTGAGCAGAGGCGAGACCCTCGTGGCGGCCATCGGAGTGGGAGTTCTCTCGCTCGATAACACTCACCACTAAAGAAACAAGGATGCGGTCTCCCAATAATATATTTGTGTTGTTATTTTCAGGAAGATGCGTTTAGAAATGCCAAAATAAAGACTCTGTCACTTCGTGACTGTGAGCTAATAGATGTATCACCAGCGTCTTTTGCCGGATTGGAGAATAGTTTACAGAGCTTGGATCTGTCGGAGAACAATCTGACTATGGTTTCAAAGTTTATGCTTAATAAATTAGATTCGCTGAGGTTTTTAAATCTCAAAGAGAATAAAGTAAGTAAAAATCTTTTCTATCTACATATAAATACGTGATAAAACAATTTGAACTTTGGTATGCTCACCTGAATTAAAGTTTTAAGCCGTGTGTGTTTCAAATTTAAAAAATACGGCCACATCTATACGAGTATACGTCCAGTATGTTTGCTAACTTGTCATAGCATGGAAAGCTTTATATTATCAAAGTTCAACTGTCAATTAAAACAAACCCTAACAGGAACCTGACCTGAGATAGTTAAATTGGTATTTTCTATTCTTTCTTCTATATACCTAAGTAGTTCATCCAGTGAACGCTACATATGAAATTATTATATACTAGTATATACATGAGCAATTAGGTTACGCGTGTTACATGTAATAACAGATTGTCCTACAGATTGTCATAGCTTTGTACCTTATTTTGTAACAATATAAAAAAAATAATTGTATATACATAGTATAGTACATAGTATATAATATCCCTTTTCTTGCATTCCAGGTCGATGTAAACGTATTAACATCAAGCTCCCCATCTGAGTATGCGATGGCATCAATTAGTACGTTCCAATACAAATTGTTTTACTTGGATATCAGTGGAGCCAGTTCTATTGAAGCCAATTTGCAAGACTTTAGAAGGTTAGAATTATATTTATTATCAATATCATACATGTCAGTCATTAGAAATGTTCATCAAAGATACATTTGTGCTTATTTCTGGATTGCGAGAACCCTGAGATCCGGGTCTAACACTAGCTCTTCATAAAGGAGTGGAACGACTCGTCTTGATGTCAGTCGCTGTACTAAAGTAAATAAGGGCCTACCTATGATTACAATGGTTTCTTAATAAACTTGGAAACAGGACACAGGAAAATCAGCTAATATAATATAACGGGTGAATTTTAACGAGTATAATTTAAATTTCGGCAAGTATGTAAGGAACCACTTATAAAATATTAATTTTTCTTTTCCAGAATGAGATCTCTTCGATTTCTATCAGTTAGCAAACTTCTACGTCAAACGATTCGTAACGAGGATTTTCTGGAATTTGGAATGGAATTGGAAGACCTGAAGATATTTGGCAGTACAGTCACCAGAATCGAATCCAGCGCATTCCAACACGTCAGGAGTATAAAAACGCTTGATTTGTCAGAAAATAATATTGAGTTTATTGATCCGTTTGCTTTTGCTGAGGTGAGTGGGTTTTATTTTAATAAAATTGACATCCTTAAATCTCAATACGCTTAATATCAAATCGTTTTACACGAAAGGTCGTCGTACACTACACGTCCTACACTTAAGTATTCAAAATTTCGCTTGGTTTGATTTTCATTTTGAAATTGAATGAATAGTTTAATCGGCTGCACGAATGGCGTAGTGGTTTAAGCGGTCGCCACGCCGCTTCCTACTGCGCTGAGTGTTGTGTGTTCGATCCCCACATGGAACGATACTTTGGGTAATCCACAAATCGTCGTTCTGAGTCTGGGTGATCAACAAATTGTCGTTCTGAGTCTGTGTGTTCTTTGTGTATATTATGAAATGTTCTTTGTGTATATTTGTAAAGTCCCCCGCGACACAGGATATATTCCCAGTGCGGAAGTTGTCTTTAAAAAAATAAATTATATCAGAAGCATAATAGCTTACTAGTACGTGCTGCTAGTTACTCTTTCTTTTTTTGAAATAAAATTAATATTCTTCTGTAATTTTGATTTACAGCTACACAGTCTAACAACTTTGAAAATAGCCAACGGCCTTGCAGATACCGTAAAGATTCTTCCGTTTGAACCATTGAAGGCCTTAATAGAAGTTCAATATTTAGATTTTAGTAACAACAAGCTGAAGAATGTTCCAGATACATCGTTCCACTTTCTGTATAGACTAAAAAGATTGAATTTACAAGATAATTATATTGACCACTTTTCTAAAGGGACTTTACAGGTGAGTTAACGTTCATAAGTAACATATTAACATGTGTCTCTCTTAAGATTTTTTATTTGTATTTTATTGTCCCCATTTCCACAATATCTTAATGGTATTTTTATAGTCCTGATGTTTGTAGCTTGTTTAAAAAATGTATGATCATCTGATCAGATCCGCTGTCACGGACTGTATTTTTGCGCTTCGATTAGCATATTTAAAACAATTAAGAGTTTACAGATGTACTGGATATTGTCAACAAAATTCATACAAAAAATATATTTTTTAAATCGTAGAACATAGAAAGCATCTATTTTGTATTTTAAGTCTAAATGAATTAATTTTGGTTTACAGGTTGAAAATCATGACCAACTGGAAAGCATTTGCTTGTCATTAAACCAGTTAACACAAATAGTACAACACACGTTCGTTAACTTAAAGGAACTGCAAGAAGTTCTTATAGAAGACAATCTCATTGAAATTATACATAGAAGGGCTTTTGCTAGTCTGGATAATCTGAAGGTCATCAAGTTAAAAGGCAACAGGATTAGAGAAATTAGTGAAGAAGCATTTCAGAATATTCCAGCACTTACTGAGTAAGTTAACTAGTTTTTTTTAGATATGACAAGCTAAAGACCCATAAACGATTGTTACATCTTAATTGAAACTGTTAATATTGATTTGAACTCTACGCTTGAGACCTCATTTAGTTGTTTTTAAGCAGTCCACAAAATAATTATCACCACACAACTAGACCATTCACTTTGAAGTAACAGGCTTAACTAAACTCTCACAATTAAGTATTATATAAATTAAATATTGAAGTGACACGTGTCAATGAACTGAAGACCTGTTTCTGAAAGTAAAAATATTAAAAGTAAAATCAATAAATTCTAAAATATTGTCACTTAGGTATCACTGTGATATGAAACATATTTCAATCATAGAATAGAACCATTCTTATAATAAATATTTATAACTTGTGAAAGCAATAGTTAATGACAATAATGACGATAAACGTGATCGATCAACAGTTTTTTTAAGTAGCAAGGACTTCAATGCGAATTAACGGACCTCTTGGTCTAGTGGGTAGGGACATACAAATAAGATTTGACTGCTAAGCCGGCAGTCGTGAGTGCGATTCCCACCCAGGACAAATATTTGTGTGATTAGCACGATCGTTGGTTCTGTGTCTGGGTGTAATTTATTTATTATATGTATGTATTTAGAAATATATGAGTAAGTTTATCAGCAGTCTGGATACCATAGTACAGGCTCTGCCTAGTTTAGGATCAGACGGCCTTGTATGAGATTAGGTTATTATTGTTACTAATTATAATGAAAAATTGTAATAAAGTGGACTAAACGGGAAGTATATCCTTAAAATAAAAAAATAATTATCCAAATAAGTTTCTAAATATTGGCTTTCTGAGGAAACACACACACAAAAATTACATCTGTATTAAGAAACTTTCATCTTTTTTAAAATACTATCATTCATCCACCAATTTTTTAATTATAGGAGTTGCTTATCACGGTCAAAAAGACAAATAACCAGCTGGTTTATCTTTGATCTGTTTTAATCACAGGCAGTTTTATTTCTTTATGCTATGCTAACAAATAATATTTGCGTTTCAGGTTGGATATATCCTTTAACGCACTGGAGACCTTCAAGTTCTCAATATTTGATCAAGTCGGATCAGCAACCGCTTTAAAGGTCAATGCTTCGTACAACGGGATCATTACATTGACTGACTCGAACGCTCCAAGTTTCTTCACATCAAATTTCTACCCACCACCGAAAGCTCAGAGTAAGAAATTTCAAATATATTCTTTCATCATCATCAACAGCCTTTAATAGTCCACTGCTGGACATAGGCCTCTTCTTACCCTACTTACTACTATTATATTTTTTCTATTATAAATATTTTCTTTACTAACTTACATACTTCACTTTTCAATAATAGGGAATATGCATGTATTTTTTTTATTTTTTTAAACGATTCTACTAGTTATTACATTAACAAAAATAAATATAACACATCCGAAATATAAACCGTTAAGCAAAAAATTTTTTATTAAAATCACTATCATTTTGGGGCAATTTGAACACGTCCATTTTGGCGCGCTTTTTTTGTGACGTCAGATTCCACTTTCAGACGAATTCGATGTCAACAACGGAGTGAAGTTCACAAAGTTTGTGAAAGTTAAAAAAGTGAGTGATAAAAATTAACTTATTACCATGGAAAAGCCAATAAAAACTTATTATAAATATTGTGCCGTATAAATATTGGGCACAAAGCCCAAATTATATCAAAACTGCACCTGACAAAGTGCAATTTTAAATATTCAGTAATTGTGTTGAGTCTTTCTACACGGGAATTTAATAATTTAACACTGAAAACGTATTGGTTAATAACTTAAAATGAAACAAATAATCACCGGAAACCAAATATTACAAATACACACAACTTGTTGACACTCTTGACAGTGTAGGTTGACGTCACGTTTTATTCAACCAATAGCGTTGCGTTTTAGAAATTTGCGAGGGAATCTTAAAAAAGCCAATTTTTGATGATTAAATTTCAGTATTAAATTATAATAAATTTCAAAAATAATTGTATGGGTATCTTTTTTTAGCAACAAAAATTACAAATAAAAATATTTTGTCCACTTCGGTGTCACGTGCATATTCCCTATTGTCCTATTGGAAACATTTATACAGATTTGATAAACTACTTTTTTATAAGCGTAATGTTTTTTTAATTCTTTTTAATTTTAATTCTTATTTACTAATCTTACATTCATCTTCACAATTTAAAACATTTCATATGGATCTTGAAGACTTTTCATCAAACATAAGTATGCAAAGTATGTATAAAACTTTTTCAATCACTTCTATCAAATCTAGACAGATTTCTTATCACATTAATCATGTTTTATTTTGTTTATTTTTGTTTCTTTTTTTGGTTTTAACATATACTCGTATTTGCTTTCTTTTTTGCTTTTTGCACAGGTTTAGTTGATGATACTGAGGAAGAATTTATATTTACACAAGGTTATTATGACACAAGTGCTTTTTTATTTTAAGGTTTATTGAGCGTTTTGGTAATTTCTACTTACATCCTCAATGTAAAATACCGAAATTACTGAAAATAGGAATACATGTGTGACGTATTTGTATCTTTAGTCCTTTAGTTTCCACGTTGCTCACCAAAAAACTAAACATATTAATATAACCGCTAATCCAGTGGGTGCAGAGCCGACTAAAGGAGAAAAACTACCTAGATCAACAGCATTGCAGAGAGAAGGAAAACTTGACACAAACCCTATACCAAACCGTCTGGCCAGCGTGGTATAGTAGGCCAAAACTTCCTTTCTAAGGAGATGCTTATGTCCAGCATTGGACTATAAAAGGCTGTTGATGATGATGATAATCAGCAGGAGCGGAGTATCCTGATAATCTGGACTGATCCTTTGGCGTTGTATAGAGAAGTAACTTCGCTTTGCATCTTCTGTCGCTATTAGTATGGAGAGTGCTATAAGGAATTGTTTTGACTTTGTGCCCGCCTTAATTTAACTTTTGCTTTCCCCATAGCTTGGATAAGTGACTTGGTAGAAGAAATTTGCAAATTACAGTATTTTTTCACACGTATCTTTGCTTAGTAAACGACGGAAGGCAGTAAAAGTGCTAATTAGAAAATACTAATAGTATTGTTACTGAAGTGCCCAAATCGTATGGTCTACTAAACTATAATAGTGCATATGTCGAAGAAATATGAGTATATATTTCTGAATAATAGTTATAGGCGGATCTGAATAATTATGTTTTTTACAGGTCTAGGGACAGTATCTGTAAATATAAGAGTGTTGGACTTCTCTCACAATAATCTTACATACATTGCACCATATTACTTCAGGTGAGTGGCTTTTTATTGAATATAATAAATAAATATAGTATAGTTGGATATTAATTAAGAAAATAAAGAAAAAATTATATATATACTATTAAATAAACATAAGATATGAACCTGTCTACTAAGTACTCTAATAGTATTAGATAAACCGCTTACTTGACTCCTCGCCTGCGTGGTACAGGGATGTGGAGATAAGATAAGAATGGGACCGGAACAGGTGTTTGAAGAAAAGGAGATGTTTATCTATAGTAGATGTTACGTAATATAGATATGCTATAAATTAAAAAATAACAGAATTAAAATAGCATTTCATTAAATAAAAACGATAAAATCTTTGAAATCGAGAAAACAATTTAAACAACATTAATACATTTTATTTTCAGACACTCGGATCTGACTCTCACAGAGCTACATCTCTCTCATAACTATCTGAGGAATATAACTCGGGAAGTTTTTGGCAATATGCATATGCTGCAATATTTGGATCTATCTCACAATAAGATACTCCACATGGAATACGACTGCTTCAATAGAGTCAAGAATTTGCAGGTAAATTTTACAAGTTTAGCTAAAATGATAAGAAAAATGTTTGGGTTAAGTGAAAATAAAAGGTGACAATGATGTACGAAATTTTTCTTTTGCTGCGTTTACGACTGACTATAATTATTTAATGCTCATTATTGCGCTTTTTAACAGCCCTCTTGAGTCAACCCGGTGACAAGGCTAGTAAAATTGGAAGAAAAATCATATTTTATAAAGATTTCAATCCGTTGTATTAATTTACCCTTTTTGATGTATTGTATCTCAATACAGACACAGTATTAAATTTCATACATTCATTAAAAGGTTTTGGCCTATTCAACTTTGTATACTACTAGATAATATTAGTAAAACCTTATGTTCAGATTCATGCGTTGTGTATTGGTGAGAGTTCGCATCATAGAATTAAAATTAAGACTTTCTGTAGCCATTCAGACATAGTAGACATTCACGTTACTTTCAAATGATTATTAACATGCTCTTCGAATCATTCCAGATAATAAATCTTTCAAACAATCATTTAACCGACTTACCAGTGGGAATATTCCGCGATATGGCATCACTTACTTCAGTTGATTTATCGAATAACAGGATCAAGAATTTAGTGGATAATCTAATCCCCTCACCGGCTTTAGAAAGGTAGATATTTTTCATATGGCAGTATGGACGCAAACCTTTGCTTTCTTCACATATCTTTATGCTCGTGGAATATGGGACAGACAAAGGACGCTAATGCGTTCGAGAAATCCTCATCAACAAATTATCATTTGCTGTTACAGATTAGATCTATCTGACAATGGTTTATCGAGAATACCAACCAACTGCCTGTCGACTGCAGCTTCAGCCAACCTCGTTGAACTTGATTTGAGTGGAAACACGATTCCAGCAGTGGCTTTGGGTGACCTGGTTCAAAGATACAGGGTAAGAATTACACAAGCGTTGCATTCGTTCGAATGTGTTGAGAACTAACTGCTTGATACTGAGAAGTTACACTTAGCACCACGAAATCGATTGCATGAAAGGCCTTTGCAGGTTTGCTTTTGGTTTTTGCTTTCATACATATTGACTGCTTATGATAAAAATCAATTTCGTGGTGCTGTAAGCATTTGGTTGTTAAAGTGGCATTTTTTGATTTTACCCAATACTAATACCAGTAAAATGTGATCATGTTTTATTCTTTTTTATAAAGTAGCCTTCCCTAATTACATTATTTAATGTTCTAGCGTTTTGTATCTACCTTATACTTATAATTCGAAAATCGAAAAGCCGAAAGTATAAATTTTAATTGACTAAACAGAAACCGTTTTCGTTTCAAAAACATTGCAGTACAATATGATCACATTATGTCTTTACACAGTAGATGCCAGGGTGTAGCTTTGCTAATAGTATTGTCATGCATGTGTCGCCAGAACCCCGATCAGTTGGGCGAGTATTGGCCCGAGGAACCTGACTACAGTGACGAGTATATGTACCACACGGCTAGGCGAGACCACACCAGAGTGTACCACCAAAAAAAACAGTACCCGCAGAATATTTTGTACAAGGTAGCCTATTTACATAGATGTTTGCGATACTAATTTTCCCTACATTCAGTTCATTCGAGTGAATGTATCAAACACTTAAATTATAATTAACTTTAAATTAAAATGACAACAGTGGTTTTTAAATACTCGAATGATCTGAAAAGTATTGGTTTTGTTCTTATGCACCGTTTTGGTATGACACTAACCTTCTACGAATCTTTTGGTATTTTCTGTAGTAAGTTTGAGTATTCGTTTTTTGCATGTTGGGAACATTTAATTTTATTTTGTCTAGGTTTGAATTAATGATTTTATATGTTATTTTATTACATACTTTATTGTTAATGGTTTACCTTTAGTAGGTAATATTTATTTTCTTTTATATTTTGTTTGTAAAATTTGATTTACCAATTATGATTTTTTAAGTGTTTACGGCGGCTAGTGATATGGTTTTAACGTTTTCGTATATTTTTACAGTCTTTAGCGTGGTTGGATTTATCAAACAACCATCTGGTACGTATAGAGGGTGGATCTTTTGCTGCTTTACCGAAACTTCGCTGGTTGGATCTCAGTAACAACTCACCTTTTAACACTGGTGAAAGAGGGACGACAATATTCAAAGGACTAGAGAGAAGGTTGTCGCATTTAGGACTGAAAAATGTCAGCCTGGTTTCTGTGAGTATTTTAGATTATATCATTTGAGATTGCAGTCAAAGGATTTGATGAATTTGAACAATACAAAAACCATATCTATTATAATAAAATATAATTCAATACTAACACTAGTTTTTAAAACACATTGTTACTAACACTATATGGATGTAATAGTCCGAAATAAATAATTTGAATTTGAATTTGAATTTGAATTATTAGGATGTCAATATCATTTCTGTATGATTTTTTTTTATCAAACAAAGTTGAAAATTAAATTCAATAAATTTACTTAAATTAAATTAATCAAGGAATTCTCAACTCTCGTTGATACTTCTAACCTTTTTTATTTAATATTTTAGGTGCCTTCAATGAGTTTATTAAAACTAAAGAGTCTTGATTTGTCTTACAACAATCTACCATCAGTGCCTCCTGAGACGACAGCGAATCTGACACGGCTAAGACATTTGGATCTTTCATATAATGATCTTACTCTTGTACCTGTGGTAAGTATTAATTTAAGTACATTTTATAACATTCGCAGATTAGGAGCATAAAAAATCAAATGCGATAAATGATGAGAAATAATTAAAACTAAGGATACATGATTATGCATAGGCTATAAAAACAAAGTAGCTACATTTTAGCAATTGTTTTTTCTTTTTTTTTTGCGGGATGTGTGGTATAATTTTTTACTTATTTTTTCAGGCAACCCATTCCTTGAGCGAACTCAGATGGTTGTCGTTATCCGGCAATCCTATTACCGCTTTAATGAATACAAGTTTGTATGGAGTATCACCTCGTCTTGAATACCTCGATATAACCCGACTGAGACTCAGAGCTCTTGAGGTAAACAAGTTTTTAAATCTGATCCAGTATTTTTTTGATTTTCTTTTCCTAAACTTCTTTTGCCAGTTTCAGGTCAGGTCATATTAAAGTATACAGTTGTTAATACAGTACGTCACAAATGTCTTAAGGTTGCTTTGACCCTTAAACATTTAGATTAGATTTTTTACAAAAATCTCTTATAATAAGTTTGAATTTAACCCTAAGCTAATTTTCTTTTATATTTCAGCACGGAGTTATTAGCAAGATGTATGGCTTGAGAACACTTAAAATCACAGCTTACACGAACGTTAGAGATTTCAACGTACCCAAGCTCCTAACATACAATGCTGGCCTGGAGAATTTGCTTATTGACATCGAGGAGTTTATGAACGAATTTGGAAGGGAAATGTATGGGGTGATGCCGAGCAAGCTAAATAATATCACGATAACTGGACGACCTTTGAAATATCTTTCACAATACTTGTTGAGTGTAAGTTTTTTTTCTATTTCGAACTGAGTTATGAAAGTAGTTCTAGTCTGTCTTTATCCGTAAATAGCTGTAGGCATAAAGTGGGGTATATTTCTGAAGTAATTAATAATTTAACTAAGGACTTTTCGAACAATCAAATTCGGCGTGGCGGAAGCCTAGTGGTTAAGGCGTTGGAGTTGCGATCAAGAGGTCGTGGATTCAAATCCTGATCAGTACTCACACTACCGACGTGAACCCATTCTTAACACAAACAATTTAGCTTAGGGTGAGGGGTTGACGGAAATACCAGTTATTACCAGGATGCTAGAAGACCTTATTAAAAAAATATATCATATCTATAATCATCACTTCAATTAGCCAGCCTACATGTTAACTGCTCATTCAGTCTCGTGGTCGTGGATTACAAGGAGCAATAATCAAGTCCTAGCCATTCAATATGACTTTATATATGATATTTACGCCCCTATAAACCCTGTACATTATGTCACTGGGAATCTTCTAGGTGAAGAACAAACTTAGAGATTATACTTTGTAAATTTATTTTTATTGTTTTATGCATCGGTTTTTTTCGTTATCATATTTCTAATGTAATTTTAATTATCTTTTTCAGGGTGTACAATCAAAGGTGTGTCGCCTAACTGTATTTAATACAAGCATCGATGAATTGGCGCCAGAAGTATTTTACAAAGCGGGACGCGTCAAAAACCTAACGTTAGACCTGCGACACAATTACCTCATGAGTGTGCCCAACCCATCTCAAAGAGCCTGGCCAGGTGTTCCTAACACAGTATTTTTACAGGATATACTAGTTGCAGGCAATCCATTGGGTTGTGATTGTGGAATTGGGTAAGTCGTTTTACGAGGGATCTCTGTTAAGAACAAAAGTATCCTAATCTAAATTAAAAACTAAAAATATTTAAATGTCATGAAACCATACATGTGGTTGCCTACATGTTTAATTAAAAGTAGCAAAAGTAGTCAGCCATCTTTCGAAATACTATTCACGAATTCGGTTGCATGCCACATTTAATGTTACTTTAATTATTGTTTTTATTTTTTTCATAGATGGATAAAAGCATGGGACCGCAAGAGAAGACAGTATTTATGTGATGGTCCTTCCAACTGTTTAGCGACCCGTGATGACGTCAGGTTCGCTACGTGTCCAACGTACTACAACAGAACTTTTGTTGATGTAAGTAGGCTGAAAATTTACTTTCAAATATTTGAACTGAATATCAAACTAATACTGAACAAAAGGCCTATTGTCGTAATAAAAGTTCGGTCACAATTCAGTTTTAATCATCTCGCAACTGTCATAAAAGGTATTTTCGTAATTAATTATTAAACATCTAACGTGGACTGTAATGTGTTTATATTTTATTGTAACCAAAAATTGAATCGGTAATCTGCTAGTTTTAGTAATACTTTACTATTTTACGATGAAAATACCTGTTATGACAGTTTGGAGATTTGATCGGAACTGAATTGTGATCAAACTTTTATTACGAGAATCGGTCTATAGATTGCACTATTTGGATCGAGCAGCAGTTCTACGTGCATTACTAATTTAGTTTGAATTTGATAAAACTAGAGCTAAATTGAGTGTTTTGTTATGAATCATTCCCATACAGCAGAATATTCTACAGTTTCAAATTTTAAAATTATTTAAAGACTTGAAGTCACTGCAATATATTTAATGTACAATATTTATAACCGTAAAATGTTATTCTATGTTTCAGGTACTTTTAAAAGATCTTGATTGCGAATGGAACAAAGGATTTCTTGGATCTGCGAATTTCTATATAGTCTTAGGAATGTCAATGTTAACATGTCTATATATATGAGGACTCTTTTGGCTACTTGGGGTATACGAAGAATTCAATCTTATTTTGGCAAGGGTGTATAATTCTTAGGGCATTCATGGGCCTCGAGTGTAACCATTAGCAAACAATTTTGGCAGAATTAAATTCTGACGCTTTTAATTTTTTTGATATTCTCAGATTTAGTAATACGATAACATTTAAACTTATCGAAAATAATTTTGACTACTCTATTAAAGAAAACTGTATATAAAAATCAAAGGTAATTGTAAAGAGTGGTGGAAATTTTATTCGAAAAAGAGCCAGAAACGAGTGAGATAGATTGAGATGTTTTTTTTCTTGCTGTACCTATTTTGTGGCCTACTACTACTCGAGTGTTAAATGATGATGATCCTGATTAGCCAAATCCTAGTATTAGTGATACGCAAGTATATGCTTTAAGACTTTAAGTCGGAACATAGAAACGACGGAGGAAGTGACTTTTGTAAAGTTAAGTGTGCGATAATTATAGTGAAGCCTACTAAAATGTGATTTATCGGTTTAACAATGGAAAGCTGAATGATGAAAGATGCATGATCTCAGAGAAATCATTGGAAATGTTACCGTAAATTCATATAGTTAGAGTGCAGTTTGCGTTCCCTGTAACCCTCTTTTGCGTGTGTAATTTTAAGATTATAATTTGTTTTGACTTGTTACTCATATGTACACATCGGTTTGTGTACTTTGCATAGCATATTGTTATGAAATATGATACTTGCCCGTATTTGAAGGGTATGTGTATAAGTGAGTGATGAGTACTACACGCATTTCGTGCACTGCCTTACATAACAAATTCTCTGTGATTATTGTCCAGGAGTTGTGTCCAACGTGTCATTGTGTGGTGGAATAAATAGTATTGTTAAAAACTACGTGTGGAAGTGCACTTAATGTGGTTTACGTGTTGCATTTACGTCGATTTATAAGATAAGTTCACACGAAAGCAATGACTTAATTACGATTGTCTAAGTAGACTGCATTCGCTCGAATGGTATATGTGTTCGTCCATTATTAAGAATAATAATATTATTTATAGGTGTATTCATTTTTGTAATAGGTGACTTTAGAAGTAGACTAATGATATAATTTATAAAATATTCCATATGTTTCATCACATAGATTTGTTTTCGTTTTCATAATGTGTAGTTGTATTAGAACCGTCTAATCAACGGCTAAGAATTTTAATCAAACTTTGTACAAATACATTTTTCAATTTATCTTTAGTAAACCTATATTCAGAGTCACTATCTTCAATATAAAAACGCTTAATCCCAAACTATTTACTATTTAACACTTTCCATTGTTTAGCTATTTACAAAGTCTATCTGGTTATTGTTGGATAAACATATTTTATTACATATTATGTATAAATGTCATTAGATGTTATAGTATTGGAGCATGCTGTAATATATACATGATCGTATTTAAATTTATACTAGAAATTTTAACGACTGAAAATAAGTGTTTCGGAGCTAAATCGCTGGCTATTGTATAAGAACTGTTGTTTGTATAATGTTCAAATGGCTTGTTTATATCGTTGCATTGCTTCACCGTTCATTCCTATATTTTCTTATTCCTAGACTCGCACGCTAGTCTAGTTTAGTCAGAGACGCATGTTTTAGCTTTCTTATATATTTCTATAACTGAGTGATTTTAATTAAATACCTCTTCTTCAGTGGTCCAGTTTGTGCTATCAGGCCTATTGTTGACTTTTGTTTTCAATGCCATTTCAAAATGTACTCTTAATTTATCACGAACTCAGCGAAAAGAGTATCGAGCACCGAGTTTAGGATTCCGATATTAATTTTGGTATTGAAAACAAAGGGATGTCGTTGTAACAATGAATATATTTTGTGATATATATTACTCTAATCCTTCTATTTTTGATAAAGCCTACAATTAATATTGCTGAATTAAACGGGAATTGTATAGCTGACATTAAATGTAACAGTTACCGCTTCTTAATGTAGTACAGACTGCAGTGTCAATTGTTATAACTATAACAAGTTCTTTGATGGTACTAAGTAATATATTTTCTTCTATTATTAACATGTCAGAAAACTTATTTATTTATAAGTTAACGTCTATATAATTAAAAGTATAGAACAAAATACCTGTATATATATTCGATTTTTAAAGCTATATTAATTTATATTTAAGCAACTTATTATTCTAATTACTTTTTATTGTGCTATATGTTGCGTGAACCGTATTTAGTCTGGATTTAGTAACGTGTTTTAAATTAAACTATTTACATATTTTAATATACTCCAGAATTTATGCCGTAGTTAATATATAATACGTGTGTGAGAATAAAATTATTTTCCCATATTCTTTTTTATTAGTGCCATCTTTAGTAACATGATATCGGACGTGTAAAAATTGATCAAACAGATATTCAAAGTCTTTTGCAAGGTCCTTTGTGATAGAAGTAGTTAGTGCCAATATTACAGATTAAAATAGTTAGATAAAAAAAGTGATATTTGTTTTATGAATGGGACCATAGTTTTAATGTCGAATCGTCTGCATCGATGAACGTTCTTTTCAAAAATGGAAAACTTAAAAATAATATAATTTTTTATATTATTCAATCTTTCAACAGGCAATGCCCATTTTATTTTACCCGACATTATACACAACAGTGTTACGGTATAAAGAAACGTACATACTTAACTGGGCGTTGCATCTGCCACAGTTTCTACCGTACTATGAAACTAGACGTATATTTAACAAATATTTTGCCGCATACAATATGTTGTAGTATTTGCAGTTGTATCATGGAATACTGAGCACCATGGTCTTTTTGAATAGAAGACAAAAGCTGCGAAATAGATCTCACCTACGATACAAATCTGTGCAGCATGTGTAGAGCGCCGAGACGTACCTATTAAAATTTGACACCAAGGGCACAAGAATGAAAAAAATACTTTACTAAATTTATTTTGAATGAAGTTTAATGCGGTGCTAAATTTATTTTCTGAACATAAGACTAGACTTATATAAACATACAACTAAAAATCAAGTAACTCTAAGCAAGTAAATCATATCTACAATATAAATGACATTCAAACCTTAATTTCTTATTTGAAACGTGTTAATATCATGAGGATATAAAAACCAAATGGACTCAGTATTACATTTGAGGTGTACTTAATTAAATTAATTCCCATCGTAAAACAAATATCATTTCAATAGTTTTTGTCAGTTCTCAATTTTATAAATTTCATTATAAATACTGTACATAATAATAACTTTCTGTATAGATATTAAAAGAGGTTAAATTGGAACTACACAATGACTTGAATATAATATAAAGGGGTGTGGGACGATGGAATGTTTTGTCTTCACTACTAAATAGTGTGAATTAAATAAGTAATCATTGAATTATTAGAGTATTAAAAATAAATTATTGCGTAAATATATTTTCTGAGGTTTTAATTTATATCCTGACAATTGTATGTCCAAAAACCTTTTATATAAAAATACAAGCGGTGGCTCGGAATCAGTTGTGTACGTAGAGCGACTTGAACAGTGGCTAACGAACCACAGCTTACCTACCTAATCGACACACACACACATACACATCCAAACTGAAATCTCAAAATAAATTCTGCACCGATAGAGCTCAAATTTTGACGTGATACACAACCTGCGGGACCTCTCCGGAGAACCTAATTACAGTACTACATTGGGATCGAACTCACTCCTATCTTAGTGCAGTCCAACGCCTTAACCACTCGTCCAGCAGTGGCTACTTGTAATAGCCTGGATACAGAATGTTATTTTATTTATTTTCATTTTTACAGACAACAGATCGTGCCTCACACAGTAACAAGTAACAACGTACAATTTCAAATCTGAAGTGCAATGAAAGCTACATACACATCATTCACAATCGCGGTAATAGAACTTCAATTAAGTGTTAAACAAACGCAAAAAAAAAAAAAGAAAAATTAAAAAGGAAAATGAGATGGAGTAAATTGACCAATTACTGTCATTAAATATATCTACTTGAGAATACATACCATTATAACGACTACACATTCGAAAATCTGGATTGTAGCGTGAAAGATTGTTGTTGCTAGTTGATATAGTACTGTTTACTATATCAACTAGCAACAACAATGTTTACAAACAATGGTTATGAAACGTCAGTTATGGAAACGCTTACGAAAATAAAGACCGATGACAGTAAGTAAGTAAGTAAGTAAGTAAGTGATGATCAGTTAAGAAGTTAAAGTTAGAAAAATAAAAAAATAAAAATCAACTTTCATTTATAATAATAAAAATAATAACTTTACGCATTATATGCTTAAATTGTTCTGACATATGTTTGGCAGATAGTATAATTAAGCGTAATTAGCATAATAGACCCATAACACTTAATCCTTATCTGCCACTCACGTATGCCAAATTCATTATCATAATTTAATATTCAGATTTCGGGAGTTCCAAGCTTAGGTACATTAACTACTAATCTGCCTTCAGGTAACTATAAGGTGGGGAATAATACCTACCAATAATCATTCTAGTATCGTCAAATCAGTCGAACTTCTCCATCCTTCTTTACTTGTTATTTAAATTGAAATCAAGTTCGTATATTGAAAAGGGATATCAATATTAATACCTTAAAAATAATACTAACATTCTGACACCTCGGTGGGTCCTTAAGGCTTACTTCTCCTGTCTTCTCTTGTACGTCATTCTCATCTTTTCTAGGTCTGGACAATGTTATACTACTGCTTTACGATCTACTGACGGCTTTGTTGATCTAGTGGTTAGTAGGGATGGAATAAAATGACAATCACATATGGTCAATCATATGTTTTATAAATCATATCGTCATTACAGTGTCTGATTTATAAAACCACTACAACTTAATTTTTATTATTACTCGCGAAATGTCTAAATCTAAAAAAATAAGTCGTATTCTTTGATTAAAAGATTTTTTATTGATTTATATGCCATATTTGTGACATTTATCTTAG